TTTTTAAACATGTCCTTATTAGTCATTTGATGTTAAATAACAACCGCTAACTATTGTATAACCAAACAGTTATATTTATCAAATCCGCTATTTACCATCCGCTACCCACTTTTCGCTATTCACCATCTGCTATCCGCTAACCGCCACCCGCTACCCGCTACAGCTATCTGCTATCCGCTACCCGCTACAACTATCCGCTACCCGCTACCCGCTACTCGCTATCCGCTGAATTTTAACCGCTGTACCAAACATGCCCTTAGACTAACATATTATTAATATATAATAAAATATTATTCCCATAGGCATGATATGATTTTGTAATGAAAGGAGAACCAGAATAATTCAACAAAGCAAATATTAAAATATGAGGGAAAATTTTAAACCACAATAAGATTATTCTATATACTCTGGAGACCAATTGATTTCAGCTACGTTCAAACATTTTCATTGAAACAAAAATGCATATATATGGTTGGAAGCACGTGGGATCCTTGTTTTGCAAACGTTTTTTTTCCTAAGAATAAGAGACTGTTTTGCAGACAATTTTTTTTTTTTAAATCTTAAAGGTATCTAGGTTTAATCAAGAAAAACAAAATAAAAAATAAAAAATAATCTTACCTAGAAACTTTTTGACCAACCCTATACTAACATAGTTAAATACAGACAATGGAAGTGAATTGGAAGAAATTCAAAGTTAAAAAATATAAGTTATTTGTCACAAAAATGGTATTTAGTATTAGATAACTTTAAACAGTTAATTTAAATATATCTAAATTTATTTATATTTAAGTAATTTGGTAATCATTTTCTTTCGTTAAAAGTAAGAAATTTTAAATTCAATTTATATTACATGCAGGTAAAATGAGATAATAAATAAGAAATCATTGTATTTAAATAATTTAATGATAATTTAAAAAATTTTATGTTTAAATTGTATAATATATGAGTTGGTTGATTTAAGAGATAAAAGGAATATTGATTTTTATTTTATAAATTAAGATTTAAAAAAAGGAAAAAAAAAAACCTGTTACTAACTGAACTGTGGGTTTTTTTTAATTAAAAAAATTGTATATTTAATTATTTGAAAATTGATTTACCAACTATTTTTACACATGGCGTGGTTCCATTGGACGTTACCTCTCTGCAACCAGCATTTACAGTAACACCAACAAACGCCGTGCCGCGACCACCCGGAGGATGAGCGCCATTGATCTCAATCCAAACTGCAGGGCACAAAGCATGCTTTCTCACTGCAAAACCACTGCAGCCAAGCTCGTAAGCACGGCCAAGGAGGCGGCCCGAGTCACCCTCCCGCGTGCATCGCCCATTACATTCGCGGCTCTCCACGGCGTTAACGAGAGCCGCCGTACCGTCGTCACCATGAATACGGTCGGTATTGATCGAGGTGAACTCGAAGCAATATTCGAGAGAAAGCGGTCTCTTCGGTCTAAGATACGCAAACAGCTGAAAAACATGGACCCTCTTCAGAGAGCTCATGAGGGTATGTGAAATTTGGTTCTGTATCAATTTCATTTGGATGCATTCTATGTGTTTGTTTGTTTGTTTCACTGATTGTTGATATGGGTTCATCTGGTAGAATCTCTCTGAATTTATTGACTTTAAGACTCGTAATCTGTTTCTGATTGTCCCATTTTGAGATTATGTGATATAGTCTATGGAAGTCGAGATTATTTGTCTCTGCTCTGGAATTTTGATTGGAATGTGTCCTTGATGATTGTATGGATTAGTTAGGTTTATAATTGATGCCATTTTGCAATTTGTAATTGGGTTTAAGACACTTAATCATGCTCTGCTTGAGAATGTTATGTTAGCGTCTTGTTTCAGGAGAAATGCAATCTTATGTTGAATTGTTAACAACTTAACATTCTTCTGAATTTCTTTATTTATTTATTTTCTTATGAGTTTTGCAGACAGTGCAATTCAGAATATTGTTTTAGAATCTGCCTGGTTCAAAGCCAGTAAGAGTTTGTGTGCTTATATAAGTTCTGCTGCTCTGCGTGAAGTTGATACCTCAAGAATAGTCTCAGAAGTTCTGTCTGATTACGCAAAAGGTTTGTTCAAATTCCACATTCTCTGTATGACTTTAAGCAACCTGTTAAGTATACAGATATAGCTGCCTTCTAATTTTTTTTTTGGGTCTATGATAAGCCTTATCAATTGCATCCCCATGTCACTAATTAATGGCATATTGTTTTATTCTGCATTTTTATGTATAGATGGCCAAACAAAAAAAAAGTATAGATCAATCTATACCGGTATCAAAGACCTTTGCTTTTTCATTGTTCTTTACTGCTGTGTGTTGGACATATCATCAATTATTGAAACTTTTGTTATTGCAATCTTTTCTTTCCCATGTTGTTCTTCCCTCAACTGTTCTGGTCAATGGGCCTCACTGAAGCTCATCTGTTCATTTCAATGGTCAAGATGAGATGTGCTAGGATCTTGAATGGGAACAGGTTCCACTTATATCTGCTATGTAGGTGCCATGTCAGATGATTTTGGGTTGCTTTTTCACTTGCATGCCTCTTGGAAATTTACTCATTATGGAAAAGAATTGTAATGTTGCTAGTTAACAGCTATCAGATCTAACTTATAGATTAATTACTGCTTATGTTAGATCTATAAAACATTTTGCAATCTGCCAAAAAAAAGGCTCTTGATTGTACATGGTATGTATATATTTTCACCCTTTGAAGTTCTGACACCCTCTTTTCGAAACAAGAGGGGAAAAAGCTTTACATTCCCCGAGTGGAGGACAATAATAGCAACATGAAAATGCTCAAGATATCAACTGTTGACGTTCTTACGGCGAGCTCAATGAACATATTGGAACCTTCCTTGGAGGATTCTAATGGAAATCACCATGAAGATGGTATGCCTTCTCATTTACATATGTTGAACCCATTTTTGTTGCCTGATCTGAAATAATAACAATGGCTCTTTGGTTGAAGCAGTTATGCAGGCAAGTGATCCTGTTGATTTAGTCATCCTTCCTGGTAATTGTTTTCATTCCTCCTTTTGATCTCTATAATATTATTTTACAAGATAAATTTTTGTTATATGATAGTTCTCACCTCCAGTCATTTTTATTTGAACAAATTTCTCTCCCTTTTTTTTTTTCCCTTAATCTGCAAGAAGGAACAAATAATACAATAAGACAATGAAAAGGGAAACCTTTGATTGCTACGCCTATGCTGTCTCTCCTATTTCACTTCGTTTCTTTTTCTGCATGGACTAGCATATGACTTTGATTTCTGTACTTTGCAGGCCTTGCTTTTGACAAATCAGGAAGCCGTTTGGGGCGTAATGGGGGGTATGTTGATGTATTCAGGTTTTGGGTTTTATGGGTCATAGATTATTTTATCATGAGTATTTATTTTCATAAAATCATTATTATGCCTGTCTTTGCATATATATGTTTTGATTGATGCATTTCATTTGCTGATTACTGCTAAGTGGAGTAAATTATGGTTGCTCTGGTATGGGCCTGAGGTTTCTGCTATAGAAGTTATCTAATATTTAGAATTAGAGATATAACTATTTTCTTAATTTATTTCAATAGCATGGTGACTTTATTATTATGATTTGGTCTTCTGATACTTCAATGCATGACATGGCAGATACTATGATTCTTTCCTTAAGAAGTATCAAGAACTCATAGAAGAGAGGAAATGGAAGCAGCCCCTCCTTGGTAACTCCCATAATGTTTGTTCTTTACATTATTTCGTAGTGATGCTACATGCTTGAGGACCCATTAGATCACAATATAAATGCCTCCTGACAACTAATTGTTACAGTGGCACTTTCATATTCCATACAAATTATGGAGGAAGGATCAATACCCGTCACCCCCTGTGATGTTCCTGTTGATGCTCTTGTATCTCCTGCTGGTTTCACTCCAATAGGCTCAGCTGCCTTGAAGAAAATGCAACTAATGAACCTGGTCTCTTCGTAGAATGGAGCATGGGCCGATCCTTTCTAGTACTGAAATCTAACATGGAATTCTGGGAGGAAATAGCAGTCAGATCGGACGGCAATGTTTATAACACATGTCCATGATATGGGTGACTCTGGAATTGACGTAGCATGGATAAGGGTATTTTTCATGCTTTCCGTCGAAGTATTAAAATGTATGATACTTGGAACCTGCATCCTATGCTCTGGAAATTGCTTAAGAAGAAGATTGCCTCAAGTCCCTGTCCTCGAGGCCGTGCTCCATTATATTGCTTTTTCTACCCTCTGGATCTGGGCGGCGTAAGCTACAGCTTACAAGTTTGCTAGATGTCAAGTGTTTTCTGTGAAAATTTCAGCAATGACCATCTGTACTTCTGTAGTTACCATTTTATTCTATTTAATTAACGAGGCTAAAACCTTCTTTTAGTTCCTGTTCTTTGATGAAAAGTCCCTCTTACACTTTAGAAAATCCTTTTTGGTCCTTTAAATTTATTTTTCCTGTGCCTTTTATTTAAGTCCTCCGTTAACTCTTTCTCGTTTACTACGCAGTTAGCCAGTTAGTTAAAAGAAAAACTTATTTTTTTACTTTACGTAGATTTCGTGGAAAATCCACTTAATCTAAGACGACGACATTATGGCTCTTGGGTGGACTCAAATCCTAAAATGTAAAAGGGGTGTTATAAGAATAATTTTTTTATATAATTTTATATGTTATTGAAGAATTAAATACATTTAATATCATGAGTTTCAGTTGAATTAAAAGAATCAATTATTTAAATGGCACGTTAAGTTATATTAAAAGATAATATAAAAAAATTATTTTAAAATCATTTCCCAAACATAAATGGTAGAAATATAGAAGCAGCTGTTTTATATAAATTGTAAATATTATTAAAAAAGTAAATATATTTAATATTATAAAATTTAAATAAATAAATAATTTAAATAATATATAAAATTATATATTTTTTTATTTATTTTTAATAAATTTAAATTGATTTTTTAAATATAAATTTAAAATAAAATTTTAACATATTATGTAAATTAGAATTAAAATTTTTTTATTAAATTAAAATATTCAACAAAAATTTTATATAAAATATTTTAATTATTATTTATAGATATTATTAAATTTTTATTTAAATTTATATCAAAAATTAAAATATCAAATTAAATTTACTACAAATAAATTAAAAAAATGATAAAAAAATCATAAAATTATATAAAAAAATGATATAAAAAGTAGTAATTGGAATAATTTTCCATCATAAAATGCTAACATCAATTTTTTTTAAGAGAGCAATTTGAAATTTGATTTTTAACATAAAAATTAATGTTTATCAATTAGATTTATAAAAAAGTTAAATAAAAATATTTTAAAATTATATTATTTTAATAAAATATTATAAAAAAAAACATAAAACATCTTTATCTCAATTTTAAAAACAATTAAAATATTTTAATTTTTTTAATATAATTTTATTAAAACGACGTGAGAATTTTTTTTTTTTTTAAACAACTGATGCCACTTTTCTGTTTAACATAAATTACCAGCTTCATCCAGTTAATGAAGCTGAAGATTTTATGGATGTTTTGATCGCGAGAAATCCTGGATACAATCGGAGACACGGCATCCCTTGAGCTTTTGGATTTATCAGGGAAAAGATTAACGGGGCAAACTCCGGATGGTTTGTTCATCTTAAAGAATTTGAGTGAATTGTTTCTTTTCAATAACAAGTTATCCGGCGAGATTTCTCAGGTAATTGAGGCATCCAATCTGATTGTGCTTGATCTTTTCATGAAAATTTGTCCAGAAAAATACCGGATGATATTGGGAAGGACCATGATTGGCATTCACTTATCCGTATTACACTCCAGTTACGCATTTTTTTTGTCGTTAGTTCTCACACTTTATTAATCTCCATTTCAATCTCACCATGTTCCCACCTTCTTTCTTCTTCTTTTTTTTTTTTTCTCTTGGGTTCTCGGAGAACCTAGATCGGGTTCTCCTTTGCGTTCTCGAAGAATCCAGGTATGGTTTTCCAGAAAAAAAAAAAAGGAGGGAAGAAGGTGGGAACCTACGAGAGGCTGATAATTATTTTGCAGATGATTAGGATAAGAATGGAGGTGAGAAAGAAGATGGATATGATGAGAATGGAAAAGGTTAAGTGAGTTGGAAGATGGTTGAAGAAATAATAATGGAGTTAAGTATAATTAACTATAAAATAACAAAAATTAAAGAGTGTAACGGAGTGTGTATTGCAGAAATATGCATGCATCGTTATTCTATTGGGAAACTACAGGAGTTGACAAATTTGAGTTTGTTCTTCAAGGAATTGTCCGGTGAAATTCTGATCTGATTCCTTTAACAGATGATATTGCAAAATTACAGTTTAATTTTAAAATGAAAATGATTTAGGGATAAATTTTTTATTATTTTTTAATATAATTTTGTATATAATTTAAATAATTGATTTTATTTATTTATTTAAAATTTATTATATTAAATATATATTTATTTAATAATATATAATAATTATATAAAAAGTTAGAATAAAAATTTTATTATTATACCACTTTCCTTTTAAAAACATACGAAGATATGAGAAAACTTAAAAGGAAGATGGATCTGATTCCTTTAAAGAAGCCGCTTTTCCTTTGCAATTATGGAATTAAATGAGCTTTAAAAATATCTTAAAGTAAAAATTTGACCATGACATCCTCTTTTACATGGTAGATTTTTCACTTAGGTTACGTGTGAAAATTTGAATTTGAATTTGAATTTAATGGGTATAATTTAAATATATATTTAAAATATATGTAATTTAAATATATATTTTTTAAATATTTATTAAACTATACAATTTGAT